ACGGCAGCCGGTGGAACTACGCGCTGCTGGTGCCCATGCTGGGCTTGGCTGCCTTCCGTAAGTAGCGCCCGGGCCCCGCGCTGGGCTGTGCCTCCGTCCCCGCAGCCCCGCAGCCCTGCCCCGTCTGGGGCGCTGCTCGGGCCTCCTTGTTTACAAACAACGAGCGCTGTCGGTAGCGCTAAGGCAATGGCCGTTTTGCACAAGTGGAGTTGAATCTATGTGTCATAAACCGCAATTTACAAGTCCCTCTCAAGCAGAGTGTGCTAGGTAATCACCCAAGGCACTGGTAATGTGTATTTATTTACTGGACCTGAAGGTTCTCTCTGCAGTACCTGCATTGGAAACCTCCAGTTTGTTTCTCCATAACTTTATTTTCCTTCTTTAATCCAAGTAGTGCATGTGTTGTCAATACAAGCCTATTTTACTTCAGGGAAATTATGATCATTTAAAGTGACTTACTGGGAAACAGGGACCACAGAGATACATTCTGTGGGGATATCTAAATGGCCATATCACTCGGGAGGGCAGGAGAGAAACATTTCACCACTTGGAAGCTTCATTTGAGATGTAGTTAATTAATAATATCCATCGATGTTAAATGTTACACTTGTGTCTGAAGTCTCATTTATATACGATAGGTTGGATCTGGACCAGAGAATGTCAGAAAGAAATAGAAATAGCAAAAAGAGAATATTATAGGAAGCAATCATCTTTACAAAGAGACCTGGAAGGCAAATACCGGGATATAATCACGGAGAATCGTCGCGCTGTGGCTCATCTGGAGCTGGAGCTGGAGAAGGAACGCAACAGAACCCTGAGCTACCGCGAAGCCCTCGTGTCCCAGAGCCGCAAGCTAGTAGAAGAAAGAAGGCTCCTAGAGCAGGAGCAGGAGAAGTTAGAGCGAGAAAAACAAGTCCTTTTGCATTCAGGAGCAGAAGGTACCTTGTACCAGAGCTGCCTAGCAAAGGAAGAGGAGTGGCAGAAGAGAGCCAGTATTTTACTAAGAGAATTTGAGGAGGGACTTAAAGAAAGACAGGACATCTACTGCAGCCTTGTTGTACCCAGGAGCCAGAGACTGGAAATAGAGAAAAATCTGCTAGTCAAAGCAGCAACTGATCCTGTTGCCACTGCTCTACATGTGGAAAGTGGCTTAAAAGATATTTTCAAACATGATAACTACTGTGGCAATATGCTGAACAGGAACAAAAGTCAAAATGGAAAGCTCATGTGGCTCTATCTGAGATACTGGGAACTAGCTGTTGAACTACAGAAGTTCAAGAGGGTAGAACAGGCCATGTTAGGAAAACGCTAAGCAGGGGAAGTGATGGGATTTCGTGGGATCCACTTTGCATAGTAGGGACAATCACAGTTGTAGTCCAAAGCTGTTAAATTCCCCTGCTGTGTTTCCATCTCTCCTCCTTGTTGCACTTGTTATTTGCATGGGATGTGTGCAGTGCTGGTGCCTTTCCTTTCACTAACAACAGATGCTCTGGTGAGCTGTGCATGCTCTTCAACTCTGTGAGTGTGTGTGTATTGCAGACTGCAGTGTAGTATAGGGATGCTCCAGCTTCCGCAGGCATCAGAAGCAGCAAAACAGAACTCCATTTAGAGGGGTTTGCCTGGTTGATGGTCACACTCCATCAGCAGAGAAGTGTGGTTTGCCTCCCCCAAGTGCAGTAGCACATTGTGCTCCTTATCCCTGATGTTTTACATGGTATCTCAACACTACCTTTTTTTCATTAGTATCATTATTTTTTGGAGTTTGTTTAAGCAAGACTGATTTTTAAGGCAGATGTTTGGAAGAGAACGTGTTTGAGGAAGCTGCTTGACGTAAATCCTACATGTCTATACGTACATTTATATATATATTTGGGCTTGAATATGTGTGTGTATAAATGTATGTATTACTATTCAGAGGAGGGGAATAGTATGATCCTGTTCCAAATAAATCTGTCTTGCACTGTCTTCCAGCTTAATATACAAGTAGTACTTTATGAATGAAACATCCAAAAGATGCTAATTAAAATAACACATAAAGAAACAGACTGATGTAAGTCTCCTTGGAGCTCGGAATCCATTCTTGAGCACTAGAGAGTGTATAAACTGAAAGTTATATTCTCATCGTATCGAAGATCTGTTAAGAACACTTAAATGTTTGCCTCAGTCAAGGTGTTAGTTGTAACCCAACAGTGTGCCTCAGTTATGGATGTCAGCATGCTGCTGCCTCTGGCTCCTGGGGCACTGCCTGCTCCTTGGTTAGCTTGCAGGAACCTCCTTGGGTTACAGCCATTGCATCTGGCTTTGCTCCTTGGGCAGGTCCTGTTTGTGATTTGCAGGTGGTAGGATCCTAAATGCAGCACTGGTCGCCACTACCTCCCTCTCCAGCTGTCTCCCAGAACCCAAGTACACTTTCCACAGCTCTTAAATTTTGAACTTATGGTTCACCACTTCATGTACATATGATCATGAAAGCCTACAGATATATAAGCTTTGCACACTTTTGAGAAAGGGGCTTTTTAGTTTAGGTGGTAAAATAAAATAGATGTGGTAAAAGTAAAATAATAGGTATGGTAAAATAAAATAATACAGGAAAATAAACAGATCTAGGTTTAAAAAAGCTCCAAACAACAAACAAATAAAAAACCCCAGTGCATTTCCATGCCTGAAATCTCTTAAAATTTGAGTACTGATTAGCTCCTTTTAGCAGTAGGAACCACCTTTTTTTTTCTTTTTCAAACATGCCATGTATTTTGGATAACTTTTTTCTTCCTCCTTTCTAATCCAGTCTTAGACCTCAAAGGGGTAGTGTTTATCCTGTCATTTATAACTTCTGGTCTGTTCTGTTACTTGACTTTGATTAGTGTTGGTAGGTTGTCAGTTGTTTAATTAGTCATTCATTATTCACTGAGGGCTAGACTAGACAAACACGTTTGCTCTAGGCAATGAGCTAGAATCCTGGCTTGGAAGCAATCCAGCAAAGTGAATGCCCATCCAAGTTTAACAGAACTTAGTTCCTGCAGTTGTGGGTTTTGTTTTTCTCTTATTATTTTCTCCTGATTTCAATTTAATCTGGGCACAGAAAGCAGGAGATAAATATTCTGAAATAATGTGTGCAACCTAATCCAATTGCTCAGCAAAAATACCTAACATGATACAAAATTCTAAACCAGTTATTTCCCAGCTACTTAGTTGTGATTTTGCTCACCTTGGTGGTACTAATTATGCTGTTGTGTTGTCTTTTATGTACTGATTATTTTTTAAAGTAATGTTGCAGTAGACAAACTTGAAAAAAAGCTAAACATCATGGCAAGCACCAGAAAGGCCAAAGTTTGTCTGGATGCCAAATGTGTGCAGGTTGGGAGATGGGAACGCAGTTGAGTTACTGCTGGTGTGCAGCCTGAGCCAAGCTGCTGGTGCTGCTGGCCATGTGCACACACCCTAATTGCCCAGTACAACAAACTAGTTTGAATAACTTACCCCAAGGGTAGTTCCTTTGGAATGTGGAAAGTGTCTGACCATGCAGCTGTGGCACATCTCATACATATGTACAGGTAGTTAAGCTGCTTAGCTGACAAATGGCAGCCAGTGAATCCAGGCCAATGTGTTTGAGATTCATGCCTTGGGTTTGTACATCTTAGGATTAAAAGGTCAAAGATTTTATGGTTTTTTTCATTTTTTATATGCTTTTTCATTTTTGCCACTGACATCACTCAAAAATGTTTAAAGAAAATGTAATCAAGAGGGTAAAATACTGGGTTTTTTCAGTATAAATATGTATGTTGAAGCATCACACACTCGATTGTACAGGGTTGGATGCCATGTAATAAACGTTTGGTATTCACTTTCACTTTTTTAGAAGTGTCAATTATTTGTACAACCAGTCCTTGAACTATTGTTCATGGAGCCTTTTCAGGTCATTATATTAAGACTGAAGGATATTTCAGGGGGCTTTTTAAAAGCACATAACTGGTTTGGAAGCACTGGTCCTGTTAGTTCCTACCAAAACTCATGTTTGTAGATGTCTGATGTATTTTTGAAACATTCCTCCGTTGTGGGCTGTTCTGCTGAAAATTCTAATGCAAGTTTTATCTTGCCCAGCACTGTTCTTCTGGATTGGTTAGTTGTTTGAAACCACCCATGCATACATTGAATGCAAGAATGCACACACTTCTCAAACTCTTTTTTCAAACTCTGTTTTCAAACTCTTTAGTGAATGTTTTTTTGGTTATGAAAATTGTCACTCCCCTGTTAAACAAAGAACAGCTAATAAAAACCCTCATATATTTCTGTACTGTTTTGTAACTTGGGCAAGGTGGGTGGAAGGAGTGGAGTTTGCTATTTTATTCCAACTGACCAAGGTAATTGCACCATTTTAGGTTTAAATTTTTAAAATTGACATGTTGAAAGTTTTAGTCTTGGTGCTGAGAAGAGAATATGTTGTAAAGTTTTTTCTTAAGGAAGAGCAGTATTGTAAAGCAGGTAAGTGCACCAGCATTAACTAAAGATATGGGATTAAAGATGTCCATCCCTCTGAAAGACTGGGGTAATTCCTTCCACAGAATGTTGTGTGGGATATTCTGCCTCCCTCCAAAATCCCTCAGATGTCTCATTCTGCACTTCAGCTCCTTTTCATGTCCCTCATCTTCCTGCTCTCTGTGGAGAGCTACAGTCCAGCTGCTCTAGGACAGTGCTCAGACAGTCTTGAGATCCTTGTTGCCATCAGAAAACATCCTCAATCTATTTGTGTTTGACACAATCTTCATCACCCTCTGGATCTTTAGATCATGCTTTTGTGCACTCGTGTGTGGGGCTGAGAAAATAATCAGTGCTGCTCTGTGGAGGAGACAAGGCAGAAACAGTGGTCAACAGTTCAGGTATTGTGGTAAAATCAAAGGAATTTGAGTTTTTGCTGTGATAAAAGGGTGAAATTCAAGTTTATAGTTGCAGCTGGAGTTCTAGGTGCAGCTGGATATGAAGACTTTGCCAGTGTGTGTGCCAAGGCCATTTGGTCATTAATGACTGCTGGTCTGGGAGCTCTCCAGCGAATCACTGCATAGCTGAGACAGCAGATAGATCTGCTAAGAAGCAGCTCACTGAAATTTGGGGTAGCTTGGCAATGAGGAGATCAAATGCTCTGCCAGTGACTTTACCACAAAACAATCGACTGATTGCTGCAGGAGCTTTTCCAGTAACTGGGGCTGTGACAGGTTTTCCCCAGGGTGCTCCTGCTGATACAGGAACTCTGCTCTGTAAGCTGACACTATCTGTATGTTTTGATATATTGCACAACTGCTTGGGGTGAAGGATCCAGCACACAGCCAGGGATGTCCCCAAGCAGTTCCTGTTGTCGATTCAGGAACTGACCTGAATTTTATTTTTAATTTATCAGTTTTATTTAATTTACCTGAATAAATTTATATAACCAGTACAAATTGTTCCTGCCTATGAAAGGATGTGCACGTGGGGCTGTCTTTTGTTCATAGTTAAGATGTGTTTCTTACATAGCTTAAGATAAGCAACAAGAACTGATACACTGCAGCGATCGCACAGAACTCACCAGAACAGTTTAGGAAGTCTCAGCTCATCTAGCTGAAGACACTGCAGTGGGATTTTTGCAGGGAGCTGTCTGGGTCAAGAGATCCAACTCCCCTTGTGAGCATTACAGTGTGCAAGATGTCCTGATAAAACCAGTAAAATGTTCTGTCTGTCAGTGTGTGCAGCAGCATTTTCAGTCAGTAAATTCCAAGTGGAAGAGTGAGAAACCATTTCGCAGCATGGAGAAGTTTCAAAATCTTGCAAAGTGGACAAATTTGCCTTTTAAACTGATAACACCTAAATGCATTTTGAAGGAGCTAAAAGAAACAAGTAAAATCTCAACACCTGACCTAGACCAAATAAGTTTAAAAGACCTCATACAGACAGACCCCCAGAGGACTGGTATCAGCGTAACTTTGAATTATGGATGGCAGCATGGGTAGTGGGTAGTATCAAGGAACCCAGAACTGTTTTGATACTGAAATCACTTGGGTGGCAATACTGAGAGTCCTATCACAGTCTGATCAACCTTCTTAATACTCTTTCCATGTATTCTGACAGCCAAGATAATAAAAGCTTGACCTATTAATGGCCAACAGGTAACAAAAAGGCTTTCTGTCTGAACCTGGGTTCTCTGAGAGTGTACAATCAGTCCGACTGATCATTCAATATGCTGCAAAAAGCCACAAGCCTGGTGGGCAGTATTCACAGAGCTGGCCAAGGCCTCCTACTCAGTGACACAGGAACAAACCTTTTTGTCCTGAAGTAAAATGAACTATCTGAGCGTGTGAACAGATGAAACTTGACCTGGAAGTGTCACTACCATGAAAAAGGATCATGCTGAGCCAATTACCATCAAGGCCACTGTCAAACAAGTGGATCCAATGTCATCAAATCAATCCATTGTTCTGCAGCCTAGAAAAATATGGCTGTGGATTCCACCAGAGCAAATGCTGCAATGTGGCAAAACCAGATTACCACCTTCACCATTGTTGATGACTTGGTCTTGCCAAGCTACACACAGAAAGGGATGCAAAATACCATCTCTCTCATTGCAACTTCTCTGCACTGATCTAAAAACCCAGC